AGAGTTGCTTTTTTGGGGGGGAGATGGGGTGAGAGCATGCATACGTCATGGGAGCAGGGTTTGCTTGTTTTATTTGTTTCTAACATTTGACATTCAGGTCTCGCCTACGTTGGTTGATTTGTCCAGCCTTCTGCTAGGGGTGGTTGGAGATCTATTAGAGGACATCAGTTCATCAAGTTTCATTTCCTTTACACTTGTGAACTAGGAAGTGACTTATTTATACCGCTTGATGCTGTGGGACAGAGATTTGGGGTCAAGAGTTTAGTTAAGTCCTGTTAAATTAAAAAAAAAAAAAAAGAAAACTGAAAGAGAAGTCCGCCTTGCGAAGGATTCAGCACCCTCACCCCTTCAATTAAGGGTTGAGAGAGGACTATGGGGGAGAGAGGACGGAGACAACATTTCACATCCCCATTTCAGGCCTTCTTTGCATATCATACAGCAGCCTAAATATTTTCCTAGACAGGTCACTTTTAAAATGTTGTCTTCTGTCACTTAGGTATTCCTCATAATAGGGGAGGGAACAGAAGCCAATCCTGATTGAGACATTTCAATGGTATTATTTTAATAAATCAAACTTTGCACATCTATTAGCATTTCCCACCGAATCTCAGAGCGTTTAACAAACATGAATGAAACCCATCGCAACATCACTCCCGCATAGTAGTTATTTTAGTTATACAGATGGGAAAATGAAGGCATTTAAGAAATACCCAATGTTACAAGAGACAGTGACAGGGCTAGCAAGTGACTACAGATCTGATTATGCCTTCTGACCTTAGGATGATTCCGAGGGTAAACCACACAATTTATAGCCTGAGGCCAGGTCTTCACTACAGACCTATCGTGGTATAAACTAAGTTGCTCAGGGGTGTGAAAAATCCACTCTCCTGAGGGCCAAAGTTAAACCCACCTAACCCCCAGTGTAGACAGTGCTTTGTCAATGGGAGGGCTTCTTCCCACGACATAGCTACTGCCTCTCACGTAGGTGGATTAACTATACGGACAGGAGACGCTCTCCCGTCAGAGTAGGAGCGTCTCCACTAAAGCTCTGTATGTGAAGACAAGCCCTGAAACAAAGGGTTGGAGAGTGTCCAGACTAGCTTTTTTTAAAGAGATGTTAAGATGAGATAAAAAAATCCTTCACCCTTCTGCTGTAGGACAACACAGAATCATAATCTACAGAACCACCAGCGTGGTTGACACAAATGCCAATAAATCACAGTGCTCTACTCTGTTCCAAGGCTGAACAGAGGTTTAAAAAACAGTGAAGGTCACAGCTACTCAGAGAAGTATCTCATCTATTTATTTTTTTTTAATGAGAAAGAGGGATTTTGCTTTTAAAGCAGTTGTGCAGGCAGACCATGAGTGTGGATTTGAAGCAAGTCCTCCCCCTCTCCCCACATACACTGCCTGCCCAGGCACCACATGCAACTCTCAAGTTTACCCACACACGCTATCAAAGCTGCCACTAGAACACAGTAAGATACAGCATTCGTTTATATGGCAACATCAATTAAAAAAAATAAAACTCAAACAGTTACAGATACTATCTTTAGTGCCCCCTTCACCCTGAATTCCGTTGCCAAGTTTTACATTTTCTTTTCATCATTATTTTCTTGTTCATTTGCTGTATGGAAGGTGCCAGCACATATGCACAAAGTAAAAGTACACTGAAAGTGCAGTAATGATTTTCCCTACAATGTCATGTACTACCTGTAATGAGAGTCAGTAACAACATTTCAGGTAGGAATGTGCTGCTTAACACAAGGCACCCTTTTAGAAGTTAATGCAATTTACATAAGTGACTTTAAAGGTATTGATCTGAAACAAAAATTGCTGAGGTCCCACAATGCTCTTGTGAGAGCTTTGGTGTATTTGCCGGCTCAGTGTTTGGTCAATGAGGCTGGTACAGCAAAGAAAATATTCATTCACACCACTACTGGCAATGATTTGATTGGTTAAAGTGGGCAGTGTCTTGCCTCTGTGTGGGGTGTGAATGGCTATTTCCCCTACGTTTGTGTTGACAAAATGATTAGTGAATGTTTTTCAAGTGAGCCTTCTTCAATTAGGTTCTTTGTCAGAGTAAATCATGAATTAAATGGACCAGGTAGAGTTGCCAAATGTGACTTTTGCTAGCTTAACTTCAGACAAAGAAGAACGGGACTCTGTTATTTTGGCAATGACAACAGGAAAGTGTGGCTTAATCCGCAAATCAGCTCTGATTCATTTAACAGCTGCAGCTTTCCAAAGGGCCGTTCAGATAATGTCTTTGTCAGACAAATTTTTGTCGACAGCAACGGTAATACTCTGAATCTCTAATATACTACAACTAAAGAGTAGCATGCTCATTTTACAGTTTGTATTGCGTACACAGTGTTTAACAATATTTTCATGAGTTGTTCAAAACATTTTCATTTTTCTAGGTTTAGCACTTTTGCATGTGGCCCTGCATTGGCCCAGCTTTCTTTGCCTGGTTCAGGGCATAGATAAGTACTGAAACTACCCAAAGCAATTACTTTGATATTAAGGCTGGCTATTCTCCCTCCTGGGCTTCACCTCCCACTCAGCATGGAATGTTTGTGCCTGACAAGACCCAGCAATCCAGTATGAAAGCTCCTTGTTCAGGCCCACAAAGAAGAGACATTGTTCAGCAAGATGGGTCCGATTACAGCACCCTCCACTGAGGCCTTAATATCAGAGTTACAAGATTTCCTGCCAAAGCCAAAATAGTTTTGTTAGGTAACTAACTCCAGCCACTGCCTATGGAATAATATGAAGGTCTTTTGACAAAGGCCAAACTACAGCTGCATGACAGAACAATGTACGAAGTTACTAAATGTAAATCTCAAGACATCGTTTTATTAACATACAAATTCTACATGTATAATTAAAGCAGTACATTCTAGTATATACAAGGCCTTAGGGTTTTCTTAAGTCCAGCTAACATTTGACTAAATGTATAACTATGTCCACGAATGTTTTAATGGGCTGTAACAAAAGTTACAAAATTTGGAGTTTCCCTTTAACCTTTTTAGTAAAGAGGGTTCAGTTTACAAAAAAAAAAAAAAAGAAAGAGAGAGAGAGAGAGAACACGCTGCAGTCTTGCAAGCCTCTAGATAGCAGAAGATTCAAGAAGCATCTTTTTTAGTGGAAGATATAAGGCCTTTTCTGCACTGAGTATTTTTGTACCTGTGTAGCTAAACTGATATAACAGTGTGTGTAAGTTCCTATCACAAACTCCCTGCCATAGTGTAAACCATGATTTTGCACTGGTACAGCTCAAAAATTGGGTAAGAAAGAAAAGAAGTCCCACAAGAAAACCCCATACAGCCATGGTGACACTTCTCACTTTGCAAACTAGGATAAACTGCAACATCTCCATACTCTGAGCTTGCACCACTGCATTTAGATTAGCATTGCTATGCCAGCGCAAACAAACAAAAATGAAAAAGTCAACAAAACCCATAAAGCATAAAACCCATGTCAAGCTGCACAGCTTTTGGTTTCTGCCCTCAAGGATGAGCCAAAGTTACAAAATGGTCAGGCATGAATGCAGTAAAGCTAATCTAATTGGTGATGTGAAGCGTCAAATAGGCCAATTATACTTAAATATGCAGTCCTTCAAAAAAAAAGATTCTATTTCTGCATGGTAAAACAGCTAAGGGGAATAAACTGAGCCTGGTTTTATTAGTTTGTCTCAATTAGATCTACTTATATGAAAGTGTGTCCCACTCATACCATAACCAATTTTTTTTTTTTTTTTGGAAATTAACAATGGGTTTGTAAAATAGCCAAAAGCAATGGCAATAAAGAGGCAAAAATACCAAGTTAATACATCTAGAGAGACCAGGGGGTGACCTTATTGGACCAACTTCTATTGGTGAGAGAGACAATCTTTCCAACTACACAGAACTCTTCTTCAGATCTGGGAAAAACAGAAGCCCTGGGGACTTCATTTTTCTTCTCTCCAGAGAATGCACTTCAGTTAGTACATGTATCATTCACATGCTGTAATTTTCTAAAGCTAAAACGTGGTTAAACATATAACGATCTTATCGTTGGAAAATTGAGAATCCTGAGGCTAAAGCAGCAGTGATAAATGATGGCAGGGCTTCAAACACAGTAATCCATGGCAAGTAGGAAGTTCTCTCAAAGGGAGTTGGAAGGAGTGTAACTTTGGATTTCTGCAGAATTTATTATCTCATTACAAAAAAAAAAACTAGCCATTTTGACTGCAAAGATGGAATTCAGTTCACATTCGGAATGTTAAGTGATTTAATGCAGGTTGTCCTAAGTCTGAAGAGAAACAGTTCCTGGCTGTCTGTTTCTGAGATGTTTCCTATGCTGCAACAGGGGGTAAACTGATTAGAGCGGTCAGTTTTCACTGCTACTGCTCAGAGTTTTGGGCAGCAATGGAACTGGACAAAGTTTGGGTTAATTTCATTCTGCTACAACAGGAGGACCCCCCTACACCCACCCACACCCACACCCACAGGAGCGGTGGATCAGCTCAGCCGAGGAGATTCCATGATCCTTTTGGGAGCCACAAGGGAGAAAGAGAAAAAATATATAGCGAAGGAAGTAAAGCAAGTACTGCATGGACAGGGGAGAAAAATAAGGTTGAAAAACAGGAAGAGACACCCCATGATCTAGAATAAGGAAAAAAACAAATAAAGATAGGGAAGAAGGTAAAATGAAAACAACAAGGACACAGCAAGACACCTTTTAAATTTAATATGTTCAAAAAAGTTTTAGTTAGGTACGGTATTTAAACTACGTCTCAGCCAGTACCCAACTGTTTTGTTCCTTTGGGGGGGGGTGGTTTTGTTAGGGGATGAAGGGTTGGGCAGAGGTTTTCAGATATACAGTTCCTTTTATAGATTGCTTTCAGAAGCTCAGATGGTGTTAATGCTGCTTTTCTTACACAGTTATAACTATGCTCATAGATGCCTTCACTCATCTGGTCAGAATATGAACCCAGGGTCCAATATCCAACTCACCTGCCATTTTTGTTGATGTAAGTTGCTAAGTAACCATGATCCTCCCAGTTATGAATTGTTTCTGTCATTCCCTGCTCTTGAAAAACAGGCTGTAGACCTTTAAGAACGGCATTGCAATCAGCTGCAAGATGAAGGGAAGGGAGGGAAAATACAGTCAGTTAAGACATTCTCAGACAAAGGTTAAGTTTACTACACACACCTGCTGCTTTATTTATATTTTAAAAAAGGTTCTATAGTTCTTGGCTGCAGTCTGGCAGCTATACTCTGGACCGCCCTTGTTCCCCCACTGAGGCAGTGGCTTTTGAGTCTGCAACCTTACCCTATGGGGGTGCCTTGTCCCCTCCTTTATGACATCTTTCTGGTCAAGACATCAGACATATTTTTTTTTTAAGATTTGGGTGATCACAGAGCAAAGTGTAGTTTAATAGGATTAATATTACTCAACCACTTCTACCACCATGAAAGCAAGACTCCAGACTTGTACTATTTTAATTATGATGAGACCTGATAATAGAAAAGCTACTGTACTGGATGACCTCGCAATCTCGGCCTTTTGGCTGAGGGGTGAAAACATTTCTCCCCAGGTTAGGACTTTTAACATTCTCTCCAATAACAATGACTGACTGGGCAAGATGGGCCAACCAATTCCACTCAAGACACAAGTCAAGCTTTTCCTGATTCCTTTTTGGAGCAATAAGACGATTTTCCTCAGGTGAAGAGGGAAGCTCTAAAGTGAAAGTTTGTAGCTAAGGGATACAAAGCAATAGTAAGTGCTAATGCACGTTTCTCACCACTACCACCAATACCAACAGTGAGTTATATTTTTTAATTGACTGTCAAGAAGCCCTCCAACAGAGACTTCAATCTGCAGGTGCTCGCTGTTGGTCATCACTTTTCTATCAAGAAAATACTGATTTATGCGCTGATCCCTGTCTGTGGTACAGAGAGGTCTGTTTGCACAGAACTCAATAAAGGCTCAGGGCCTTAGTCATCAAACTAAAGATGTTCCAGGGTTTAGTACTTTCACAGGCCAAATCTAAACTAAAATGAAATTACTTAGAGCCTGTTCCCTCAGTTATTTACTTACATTAATTAGACAATCCCAAAAGATGGAGGAGCAGAATTGTCATTCCCTTATTTAAGAGGAGGCCATTATAACCTGCCAACTATAATCCAGTTATTCTGCTAGAGTTCATATCCAATATACATAAACATTTGTCCAAAGTCAACCCTAGTTTGATCGCACTGAGTTTAATGCAAGTAACATCTGAGACTCGTTTGCTCTGTCATCTCCAAAAAAAAGAGATAAATCTACTTTTGTAAATCAGTAATCATCCCTTTATAGCTAAAACAATCAAGTTACAGCACAAAAGTCTGGTGTGCATAAAATAAAGAGATTGCATCTTTTGCTTCCTCGTTACGGTATTTTAGAAGCTGCATCAGAGTGAAATGCTAAAACTAAATTGTGACTCAAGTTAGTTGACCTTGGAATTAGTTTTCCATGCTAAAATAGTGACTCTGGTAAAATTACATGGGACTCAGTGCAAAACTAGTAGAAAAGTGTCATACAACTCAGGTTTTGATGTACATTTGAGATGAGTTTAAAAAAAAAAAAAAAAAAAGAAGACACCAAGCCCCAATTAAACCTCGGTTGCCCTAAGACCATCCAGCAAGACAGGCATAGCAAAACAAGTAGCTAGTCTACACAGGGAAATGTATTGTTTAGCTATAGTGGAATAATTATAACTATAGCTATGCCAATATAGCTATATGCAGACAAGATTCCAGTGTTAAAATGACTTTAGTCAACAATTACTCTGCTTTAGATGATCAGTTTCCCCAGGTAGACAAGCCCTAAAATTTAGGAACCTCTATCTTCCACCATGTACAAAGACTACTAGACTAAACTGCCAACCTGATTATTGATTGACATTATGTAAACGCTGTACTCAGACATGTCGGCTATCATCCATATAATTTTACCAAACCAACTGAAATACTAGAGAGGAACAAAAAAATATTTCCCTTATTTTTCTCTGTCAACCAGGTCACAAGAATGATGTGATTCATCTCTCTTGTCAAATGTATTAATCTGGGAAGGCACTGCCTTTTAGATAAAGATCAAATAATGTTAGAGCTAACAAAGCAAGAGTTCACATTTACCTTTTATCTTCTCCATCTCATTCATTACACTCCCCGCAGTTTCAATTTATGCTTAATTAGAATTAAGACAAAACAAGTTCTACTGAAAAGCACTGAAGAATGTGTGTGCTGACATGGCTACTAATTTTACTCATGTGTAGTGTTCACATGTGCACAAGTGAAAGTGGACTCTCCTTCCAAACCTCCACAATATGCATGCAGTGTTAAGCGGCGGTGTAAATACAAACACTTTACTGGGGAGATTTTATTTACGAGTTTCTTTGGCAAATTAGCTCAATTAACTATTCCCATTATAATGATAGCTGAAACAATCAAATGCAATCTCTACCCTCTCTCCTCAAAAAAAACACAACTTTTTTTTGCCTTCTTTCATACTCCACATTTTCTAGGAAGTTTTAGACCCTCTCCCTGGCTCCATATCCACTAGCAATTTTTATACTTCCTATCCAGCAGCAGTATAGATACACCATTGGTGTAAGCACTAGCACAGACTAGACTCAGGAGTTTATAGCAGTGTCATGAAAGCAGTTTTTCATGACTGGGTGTTGAACACCCTCCCCTGCTCTTGTTGTCTGCACTGCTAGTACTGGTACAGCCACTCCCTGGCAAGAAAACTGGTTCCGCATTTTTTTAATTTAGACTCTGCCCTCCGTGTTGTCTCTTGTGTTGTCCATCCCATCCCCCACACATCCTCCCCACTACTACCCCCTCCCGTCATCTTTTCCCTCCCACTTTCTTTCTTGCTTTCTCCTACAAGATCATAAGAGTGCTACAGGAGCATGAAAATGAAACTGATGGGTGCTTAGTTAGTTTAATTATACACACAGCACTTTCCAGGCCAGCAGATTAGAGTGAAAACCACAAAGGCCTGGTCTACATTTGAAAATTAGGTCGGCATAACTACATCGCTCAGGGATGTGAAAAATCCAAACCCCTGAGAAGCATAGTTAAGCCAACCTAAGTTCCGTGTAGAGAGCACAAGGTTGATGGTAGAATTCTTCCGCTGACCTATTTATCACTCTCAGGGAAGTGGATTACTTATGCCAACTGAGCAACTCCTCCTGTCAGAGTAGGCAATGTTTACACTGAAGCTAAGTGTAGACATGCCCTAAATAAATTCCAGACCTTCACTTGGATGCTGCTGCAGCAGCTGCATCATCATAACCACTGGGTAGCCAAGAAGTATTTGGAATATTGACACCCACCACCTCGTCCCCCCACCCCCACTCCCCAGTTTTAAAAATAAGTGAACTTGCCCCCTTACCCCAGTTCAGAGCAGGAGGATCAATATAGTGAGCAACCCCAGGCAAGGCAAAGTGTATCCTCTGACCATAAGCAGCAACTCAAGTGAAAGAAAGCCTTTCCATTCAGCTCAAATATTGATGCACGTTCAGCCCAGAGAAATTTCTTTACAGTTCACATGGAAATTTAACAAACTGCATTTATTTAAAATGTCAAGTACAGAATTAATTATCTAAGTATTTGGCATTTATGTATTGAAAGGAAAGGAGCTGCAAGGGATTAGATATCAAAGAATACAAAACAAAAATTACTATTATGTACAATGATGTCACATCTGCGTAAGTTTTAAGCATCCAGTCTGTGCATAACAACATGCTTCTAGAAGAGGCAGTTTGGAATAGCTACAGACATTCCTCTGAAGTTACAGTTGCCAAAAGGCTGCTCACTGATAAAAACCAATGAATTTAAATGCTGTCTTAAGGCCAAAATGGAAAAAAAGAAAAAAGAAAAAAACACATTATGATCTGCTAATCTGACCTCTTGCACAATACAAGCCATAGAATTTCACTCTAATTCCAGCATTCAGCCCCATAATTTGCAGCTGAACCAGACCATCTCTTTTAGAAAGACATCCAACCTTGATTTAAAGTCTCCATGTAAGACAGAGTTTCCAACAACATCCCTTGGTAATCTGTTCCAATAGTTTATTACCCTCTTGTTTATTACACATCTTTTTTCCAGTTTGAGTTGTTCCAGTTTTAATTTTGAGCCATTTGATCTTGTTATGTCTTTATCCTCTGAATTAAAAAAGCCCTCTAAATTTCTGGTTTGTTCTCTCCTTGTAGGTACTCCTGCACCACAATTAAGTTGCTTCTTAAACTTCTCTGTAAGATAAACAGACTGAGCTCCTTAAAACTCATTGCAAGGTATGAACACAATTAATGTGATGGTTCCAAAAATACATCAACTTCTATCTGTTTAGTACTTGCTAGTCAGATAAAACAAATTAAATAAGACTGGCGGGGTGCAACCAGGGACAGTGGGACCGCTGTGCCCCCTTAACTCACTAATTTGGGTTGTCTCTCACAATGTCTTCCTGGTAGGGGTGACCAGATGTCCCGATTTTATAGGGACAGTCCCTATTTTGGGGTCTTTTTCTTATATAGGCTCCTATTACCCCCCCACCCCCTGTCCCGATTTTTCACATTTGCTGTCTGGTCACCCTACTTACTGGTGACAAGCAGCAAACTCCTCCATGTGCTGTTACCACTCAGTACAATTGCATATGGAGCCCCACACCCAGCTAGATTGCATGAATGCTCCCAGAGCCACTCATGAATCACAAGAGAAAGGCACCAGCCAAATCCCCCCCGCTCCTAGCCTTGTACCCTAGGGAATATACCATCTTGAACTGCTCAAGACCCTTTCTTGAGCAATGCAAGTTTATTAATTGGTTCACTACTTCATCAAAGGAAAGTGGACATACGCAAGCCTTTGTAACCTGAGCAGATTTACCAAGCACTTCAGTCAAACTCACTGATAAGGACAAACATTAGAATAAGTTTATTGATTACAAAAGATGGATTTTAAGTGTTAAGTGATTGGTAACTACTCTGACTTTTGCCTAAGGAAAATAAAAGATAAACACGCAGTCTACATTCTCAACTTTATTAGACTAGGCAATCTGGACTAAGCAGTTCTTCTCACCCCACTGGA